GCATTAACCACCATGCCACCTGCTGGCCCTGATCTACCTTACTCTTTTATTTATTTATTTTTTTGGAGGTTTTTGCTATAGGGCACATGCACTTGCTGGAGAGACAGAGAAAGACAAAAAGACAAAAAGTGAGAAATTATCCCCTAGGGGGGATGGCCATACTGTAATCCCTTCTCCTCCATTCTTCTCTCAGGATCTGGGGCATGCCTGCACACATACCCAACTTGTTTTAAGCCTCTGGGTTCAGGTCTTGAATTGCAGTGGCTTACATGAGAGTCCAGTGACGTAACCATTAAGCCACCTGCTGGTCCCCTATCATACTTTTTTTTATTTTCTCTTTTTCAAATAGTTACTTTGTTTAACTTTATTTATTATTTTTCAGTTTGATCAGAGAGAGAGAGGAAGGGAAAGTGAGAAAGTAAGTCACCCAGTCTGGGACTTTTTTTTTTTTAATAATTATTTATTTTATTTTGTATTTATTCATTCATTTATTTTTTAATTTGACCAGAGAGAGACAGAGGGTAAGAGTGAGAGAGAGAGGAAGTGAGAAAGCAAGCCATTGGATTCAGGACTCGAACCCTAGTTGGCCATGTGGGAGTGTCCAGCGCCTTAACCACCACGCCACCTGCTGGTCCCTTACCCAGTCTGGGATTTGAACTGCGGTTGGCCATGTGGGAGTCCAGAGCCTTTAACCACCATACCACCTGCCGCCCCCATCCCCCTTTTACTTGTAATACTTCTGAATTCAGATTGACATTTCTTTGGAATGTTCTACTATAGAAATGGGACTTCAGGTACAAGTGGATTGCATCATTCATTTGTACATACATACCAAGACATGTAGTCATAAATCTGTACAGGTACTGAGTCTTGGGATCTGCAGAGTCAAGCAGAAGAGACAGAAAACAGGGTTAGAGGGGCCTTTACCAGTTTAAGTTGGTTGAAGTTTTGTTCATTTCCTAGCATGAACCACAAATAGTGAGTAAAAGCATTCACTCTTTGCAGCCCTTGGCAGCCTGAGAGGATCACAAATCTTAATTCAGGTGCCAGAGAACAGCAAGCCCCAGGGAGCAGACAGGTCTTCAACCCCAGATTTTTCTCTTGTTCACACTTCTTCCCATAGAAACAGAGATGGCCTGAGGTTTGCAAAGAGTCAAGAACAGGAGTTGGGACAACATACATCTTTTTTTGGAAGGCAGACCCTGGATAGTGGGGTGCAAATACCTGTTGGCGTTCTCCTGAACCCTAACGTGGAGATCTTTAACAAAGCTCTTGTCCTTAAAAGATGAACATGAGACAGGTCAGAGCAGGGGGAATGGGAACATGGAGGGGGTCAGAGAAAGACCATTTTCTTTCATTAGATTTTAAGGGTGGTGGATACTATGGCACGGGAAAGATTAGAATATGAGACCTCCGTGGATGGAGTAAAAACAGGATGTTTGAGCATTGTATTTCCACAATGGAAGCCCTGGAAGGAGGCATCCACGATTCATGCCCCCAAAGGGAACATAGTTGAGAAAAACACCGGAAGGGAAAACAAATTTGGAATCACAATCAAGAGGTCTGACTGGCAAATGAATGACCCTGACCTAGCACCCACATTTACACGCGTACAATGGAAGTGAGGGTACTTCTGGTTTCCCCTGAAAACTTATGGTCAGAACCAGGGCAGACATGGGGAGTGCTGCACCCTGAAGTCATAGGCAAAGGACTACCCTGGAGAGTCTGTCAATGCCTATAGGCTTTAAGATCTGCTGACCTCAAGGGCCATGGGGTTCTGAATGGCACCAGGGACTGGGGAGGGCCGTGGGACTCTCCTTCAATATTGGAAGTAAGACTGGCACCTTTTCATACTGTCTCAAGTGCCTCTTCAAGGCCCAGTACTAATCTTTGCTTCAAGAGTCCTTTCAAATCTTATCGGTGGGCTTTGCACATGTCGGTTCTAGGAGAACTAGGTCCTTCAGATTCACCCCTTTTCTTACCTGATCTGCTCAGAAATGTCTTTGCATAGTCTGGGTCATAGATAATGAAATATGCCTGAAAGGGCCCAATCCAGCAAGGGAAAGCACTGGGGTATTTTTCAACAGTTTCTTCAAGCTTCTCCATTTTACCGTTCTGAATTAACTGCAATGAAAAAGGGAAAGGAAGTTAGAGAACCAGCCAGGCTGGGCTTGTCCCCTGTTACAGGCACAGCTAAGTTATGGGCCTCAAAAGGGTTGTACAGGTAAAAGGGCCCAGCCCCTTTTCTAGAAGTGGGTGAAAATGCTTCCTTTGGGATTTCTAAGCTTGGGGGATAATTTTCTTTTTTAATTAATTAATTTACATTCATTCACTGAGCATCGTCACAAGCATACAAAATGTGATTTCCCATCCAGAATATACGGCATAGTGGTTTAATCATACATGGCATTGTTGATAATTTTCCATTTTTAGTTTCATATATATATATATATGTATATATGTATTTTCCCTTTATTTCTCACCCTCTGCCATTTCCCACCTTCCTCCCACACTATCCCTGGCATCTACAGTTGTTTTCCATTCCTTTTTTCCCCCACATCTTATTGATTCACAAAATTTCTTTTTTTTTAAGAACTATTTTATTTGACTTTATTTACTTATTTATTTATTCATTTAATTTAACTAGAGAAGGACAGTGAAAGAAAGAGAGAGAGAGAGAGAGAGAGAAAG